ATTTGGATTTTAAATATTTTTTGCTTATTCTCTGTTGTATAATCCCCACAGAGACACTGATACCATGAAATGCAATCTATTTTTTTGTACAACTAGCATTAAACTAGCAATTAAAAATAATAACAATCCCTCAAGACCTTTAGGAGAATTTTTCTGCTCAGCGACTACATACTGACCTACTTAAGGCACAAAAATTCAAGGCAGCATAGGAAATCCCTCCTGACTGCTGCTCCACAATGGTAAAGCCAGTCAGCCAAAAAATATACCTTAACCTCGAGGCAAGTAAAAAAATCCTTTGCTAACTCAAAATTACAGAATTAAATGCCTGACACAGTCTTTTATTTCACAGTCCTACTGTGACCAAAGAGTCTGAGCCCGTGACTGATTGTCATCCTCAACGGTCCTGAGACCAGGGCTGGATCTAGACAAATTTTGGACGGGGTGGCCACGCTGGGGCATAGACTCAGAGTGTGGTGGCACATTTGAAATACTTGTAAAAAGTAAATTAAACCCCTTTTTCTGTGAAATAATAAACCATACATTATTAAGAATCAAATAGTTTATTTAGTGTGGGACACACATAGTGCCTTTAACTTTGGCTGCGCTCCTTATTCACTCCTGGCTGGAGACAAACCTTTAATAAGAAAGATAAAATGAACTGTTATAGTTCACTGTCTGTGCTCTTATAAGTATGAAACCTTATGAAGCCATATGTGCAGCACACACCCCAGGGAGGCACAGAAGTTATTACTTTGTGGTCAGCCTGTGCATGTGTGAGTGTGTATCCCCTTGTGTGTGCTTCTGCAGGGGGCGGTCACGTAGACTTTGATGATTTCTGTGAGCTAATGGGGCCGAGGATGCTGGCTGAGACGGCTCATATGGTTGGACTGAAGGAGCTCCGCTGTGCCTTCAAACAGGTGAGAGGTCCCCAGCGACTGAAACTCTTAAGAAGTCTCTCTTCAAGCGAGTGAATGGGACCTCTTGCTGTAACACTACTTTGAAGTGTACAACAGAGACACCAAAAGTGTATGGCTCATGTGTTCAGGTCGGAGAGAAGACAGCTACCTGAATGCAGAAAAAATAATATAAAGGGAGGAAAAATATTCATATTGAAGAGGTTTTTATAGCCTGGTCCCTGCCATCCAAAGAGATATTTGATATTTACTTTCACCTTTTGTTCTCATTAGCCATGTCCAATTCTATTTGCCTCGTGGGTCTGGAGGAAATATCTATTGAGTTGCTGTCTTTGACGTCAGTACACAGACACTGATTCGATTGTCCTCCAAAGCCAAGCCTTGGTGTGACGTAGTTTCAGGCCAAGCAAGACAAATTAAGTCATGATTTATGATGATTTATTTAAGCAGAACTTCACACACTGGCATTCAGCCATTTAACACATCAGAGAATAATAAGTTGGTAATTGTTACTGCAAAACAGAGCACATTAATAAAGGGCTGTTAGTGATTATAACTGAAAACATAATGGAGTATATCAGCCTAACATGGTACTAGGGTTAGATTTATATGTCTTATACATTTAACCACTTTTATTCTCATGAAAAGCAAGGAGGAACTTGGACATACAAGTTATTTTGTCATTAAAACAACTGATTCTGAACTGCACTCATAACAAGTTTCATACATGTAAAACAAACAAACAAACAAAATGTCTTCCTGAACTAGTGAGGTTACTTGGCAGATCAAGCTTTTATCAAAGCCTGTAAAATACCAAAAGAATTATTCCCCTAAAAAAAGCTTTTGAAAGAGATGGTGCTTTTTTTATTAAACACATTTTAAGAATGCAATCTTACATCACCATTGTCTCTTCTTCACACATGCTGTGAAAGGTCTGAAACTCACATATGAATCCTTTTATAATAAATAGTGAATTAATGCTCAGTTCCACTGTTCAGAGTTTGCCCCATCTGCAGACTCAAGCTGTTTTCAGGCTTACAGGACCTCATGCTCTCTGTGTTTGCATAGCCATGGTGTGATTTGTTTCTCTTGATACTGTACTTTTTCCTCCATATTAGTCCTTCTCTATCTCTGTCCCTTGTGTTGCCCATATTTTTCTTCAACTTTTATTTTATTGGTCTCTCCTTACTCACTGCATGTTGATGTGCCCACCTTGTTACTCTGCACCACCTCTATACATTTCAGTTTGACTGCAATGGTGATGGAAAGATCACATTTGATGAGCTGAAGGAGGGTGTGAAGACCCTCCTGGGAGAGAAGCTGAAGAAAGGCGAGCTGGAGGAGATCCTTGGCGACATTGATCTCAACAAAGATGGCAGCATAGACTTTGATGGTGAGCGGTGCCGGACGTGGAGGAAGAATGTGTAGGAAGGGAGTGAAAAGGTTTATCAAAGAACGACAATAACACAGTTCTGCATTTACCAGAGCATACTACATGGAAATACCAACCATTCCTAACTAAATTCAGTGCTGCAGTACTTGCATCTGTGTTGCTGTTGTGTGCACGTATACAGCCATGACCTGGTTTGCTTCAGATAATTCACATAATGAACACAATTTGAAAACTGTCCTGTGTTTAATTAACAGAAAATAGTAAGAGAAATGCCTGTTATATGACAAATCATTTGGCTTTCATTAAAATATTCTGAATAGTCTAATGCATTCACCTCATGAATCATGCAGGTACGGTATTTGTCTCCCAGTCACGACAGTACATTTGGTTCTTTTAACAATAAAACATAACCATTTTAGTACTGGTCAGTGAATGGGAAAGAGACAGAAGGAGAAAAAGATTTAGAGATGACGCAGGGAAAAGGCTTGATGGCAAAGGAGGGATGGTTAAGTCAAGGTTGATTGGTTGGAAGGGTCAGTCCAGTAGAATCAGTAGTGCATTAAGTCAATCAATACACATGCCTGGACACTTGTCAGATGTTACACACAAAGAACACACACTATTGGACAGCTCGAGGATATAGCAGAAATTACATTACGTGTTACCTTTCAAACAAATAAACAGTACAATAGTGTACAGTCATACACATGTATACACACTGATGTGCACATGCACATGCGCAGGCATGTCTTGTCCCCGCAATCTAATCAATTACAACTATTGGGTACATATGAATAAGTGTGTCAGTCTCAGAAGGGATCAATGAGCAGGTGCTCCTCATTATCACTAATTACCCTGAAAGGCAGCACTTGAGTGTATCTGTCCGGTTTAGGCACATGTGCAGAATATCCGACAAGGCACCTGGCTGACAACTGTCCACAGCAGCGACTGGAGCTGTAGCAGCTCAGAGTGTGTTAGGACGGGGCTAGTGTTCTACTTGGTTTACTTCCCTTTATAGAAAATGGCTAGCAGAGAAACACCTTCAGAGCTAATGCTAGTGGGTTAATCTGGAATTAAGATTTAGTACTCAGACAAACACCTCCCATTAGAAGTCTTTCAGAGCAAAGTGCCTCAGGAGAACAATGGGAAATGGAAGATGAGATCGAGTAGATGGATTTAGTGGAAAAACCGCCTCAAGCTATCTGCAGCTGGGTTTCATTGGCAGGACACATCAATAGCTTTCTTGATTAACAAATGAATCCACAATAATGGGTACAGCAAGCTGAAACAAGTTGTAATCAAATTGATTGCTGATTACACCAGGAAATGAGCAGAGCCTGGAAAATGGCAGCTGGCAAACTAGAGTTGTTAACCTTTTAAATCCAGGACGGGCTTCAATCCTTGTCCAGAAAACCAGTTTTTCCCAACAACAGAGAGAGAGAGAAAGAAATCAGTCATACTTAAAGCTACTCTCATTTCTGTTCAGCCACTAGAGGGTTCAGTGAGACTCAAAACAAGCCTACACCATATGTGAACACTCGGAGGTGGTCGCGTAGCTGTTTTATTTATACTTGCATAAACTTTAATGTTTTGACTCAAAATGTAGAAGTCTTTGTGACTAGGACTGATCCAACAGGAAGTCGGATCAGTCTTAGTTAATGCAGCTTTAAATTTTCAACTGAAATGTTCCTGTATCCTTTCTCCTTGTTGCTTTGATACATCACTGCATCACCACTTTAATTTTTCATTAACTTGGTGATAATGGAAACATTTTGCTATTACATCACACCATGAGCTGTGTCGGTTTCCAGTACAATTTTATGTAGGCTGATAATGATGTGGCTGCATCCCATGCTGTCCTTTTTATGATATTAGTGTCATTAGACCTTATCAATGGATTTGCTGCTGTCTCTGTCTCGCTCTGCAGAGTTTGTTATGATGCTTTCTGCTCGGTGACCTTTGATGGAAGATGGAACATAAACACTGGATTCACGGCCTGTGTATCAACTCGTGACCATGGTCTCCTTCCTGCTGTTGTAATTCTTTTTCTGACATTCTGTGTTTCAAATGTCTGATTGTTAAAAAATATAAATAATAGGGCCAAAGAGATCCGTTTATATTTTCATAATAGGCTATAGGGGAAGGTTAAGTGCAGAAGGCAACGGGTGAGTTATGAAACACTTGCAGTAACATCATGAAACAGTAATGCTACACTGTCGCCCCCTTGTGGTTCAGAAGTGTGTAGAATCTACATTTTTCCAAAATGAAGCTAGATTTGTTTTCTTTACCCACTGGTTTCTTACAACACAGGTATTTGAACTGGGAAAATGTAGTATAGGTTAAAGGTCTTGAAAGTGTACTTTTCAGTGTCCTACTTTGGGTAATGGGCTCCTAAATAAATAGTATTTTACATCCAGGCTACAACAGTGCTGGTTGTTTTATGAAAAACATCTATATTTAATGGTTTGTCTATTCTGTCAAAGATAAGACCACACAGAGTTACACTCATAATATACAGTATAATACATAATGATGCATATTTCTTTTGCTATTGCTTATATAGCTATGAATAGGCAATGTTATACTCAAACAAACTTCTGGGTGATGGCTTGCTGTGAGTGGAAAACTCCAGGACATTGATGTATTTTATGCAACATCTTCTATTATATTCATGAAACAACATATACTGAGGCTTAAACTGAAAAAAGGAGCATTTATTATTACTGATAACTTAAAACATTTGACAAAAAGCATGATCTGTCCAAAAAGCTTTTTTTTTTTTTTTTTACTACAAATGCTTAACATTTAAGACTTTTTTCCAGATATTGTTATACACATTGTGAACATATGGTGCCTCAGACTGAGGGGGAAAAATACAATGAAATCATACTTCATACTCATACAAAGGAATGGTAATCAAGCTATTGTTTTTTTTTTCCCCAAATCACAATGCAAAATGGCGTAAGGCAAATGCAGTGTCCTGACAGAAGCACTGCAGGCAGACTGAGAGCAGCTTTGAATGAGGAATAATGCAAACCCACTGGTGGTATACATGCTGCTTTTGTCTCGTTTTATCATAATCTTTCAAAATCCCACTTAGAATTTCTCATATAAAGACAGCCAGAATGCACATATATTTTAATTTATAAATTAATTCGGTGTAAATGTGTTAAATGGGAAACTGCATCTCAGTTTTGAGGAGAGAAATTAAAAACAGAACTGCTGTCTTTCATTTTCATTGGAAAAGCCTCACACTCTAGTAGGATCTCTACAGCATCATGACAAACATTTTGGAAGATAGGGCTTAAAATTTAAGGTCAGAGCTGTGAGAGGGAAACAAACATCTAAAAAGCACAGAATCAATATAAGATTTCAGGGTCAAGACTGTTCCTCCAAATTCATGTTCATGTCCAGGAGGCACACAATGGCAGATTGCTGCATGACAATTTTGAAGTAACTCAAAGTGGATAAAGCTGGGGGAAAATACAGATCTCAGTCTTTTAACAGGAAGCTCCCTTTGCCACTACTTAGTGGCAGCAGTTGTGCATGTGGGAGAAATGCGTAAGAAGAAAGTTTAATACCTGGGAAAGATGAATGCTTTTCATTGGCGTCTAGTACACATACACCGGCCTTCAGTTGCACTGGGTTTTGCACAAATCCCTTCTCAATGGTTCCTCGAAGTCACATTACATCTTGCAATCACTGTTTGGACTTTCAGCATTTAGGATTTTGTTCCACAGGATCACATCCCCCCTCCTTCTCCATGTAAACAAACCTGAAAGCCAGGAGATAAACAAAAACACTGGTCTCACCAGAGAGGGTGCAGACTCTCTTCACGCCAGCACTGGAAGTACTACTATCCTGAGAGACGGTACACTCAGAAATCATTCTTAGATACTGTACACGACTCTCTCCTTCAGAAAGTTCATATGAAAATGAAATGCATTACGAATGAGAGCAGATCAAAATAACTGCTGTCATATCTGTCTTACTTTTTAAATCATTTTTGACAATCACAAGTAGTGTGTGTCCTTGGAAGTGTTCCTGAGATGGGTCGGCCTTATCTCTTTTTCAGTGATCCACTGGTTCAAGGATGTTTCAGCCTTGCTCTCATCTTGTGTAGACTTAATACAAACAGATGTAGAATAAGGGGTCTAACAGCTGTCAAAAAGGTCATTTAAATGATCAGATGTCAGCAGAAACAGAAGTTGGCAAGATTTTCATAGGAGGTTGCTTCAGTATTGTTTTAAGGTCTTAAGGATGTTTTTGGTGGTGAGAAGAGGAAGCTCTAGTTGCTGGGGATGCTCTGCAGATACGTGAGGATGTGCTGGATCTTCATTAAGCGTTCTCGGAGGCTGGTCATCGAGAGGACGGAGAGCTGGTACCGTGGGTCAATAGGTAAGACAGCCAGGAGCCACCAGCAGCAAGCTGGGCCATTGGGAGTTGCCTAGAATAGAGAATGAAGAGTATGAGACAACTGCTTTCACAAAGAAAAATAAACTTCAAGACTCATAACGTATTTTATGTGATATGCATTACATAAAGCCAAACTCAGGAGATCTGAGGGTTAATAAGAGGAAATGTGAGAATTATTTTTAAGCACAGAGAAACAGTGAGCTCCTGTGCAACTACCATTGGATGTGGGTTCCAAGTTGTAGTCCTACTACAGCGTGTTAAATACAAACTGGTGAAGATGCTTCACTGTTCTCCTACAGCTGCATTTGTATTGTAGTTCAATTCTACAAGATGGAAGTAGAGGGACACTGGGCTGGATGCTTACCTGGATGTCAGCTTCGCGTTCCGGCATTGGTCCAAAGTGCTGCAGGATCTGGTTGTGGAAGCGGATCTTCAGGTTCTGGAACCAAACACGAGCCTGCTCATACACTGCATCATGCAGCTGTTGTAGTCTCTCCAGCTCATCATTGTCCTCCACCTAACAGGCAAAGGTCAGTCAATTAGTACACTAGTACTCTATCTATCCAGGACCTGTATATACTGTGACACCCCACCCAAACCCAAAAGCAATTTCATATTTGAGTATAAAAGCATATACTGTAGATAATATCCTTCAGACAATAGTCTGTGGTTTTTACCTTGGTATCTTCTAAGTGTTCAATGTCAGCAGTACTGTAACCATCCTTTACTCCTCGGGACAAGACCCGAAAGCGTTTTCCTCCCACTGTGTCCACTACTGATCGCCCGTCAGGGAGGAAGTGGACACTCCTGATGATCAGCATGCAGCCATAATCTGCAAACCTGCAGAGATTAACACGGTGGTTCATTTAGTTTTAGCTCTTTATTCCCACAATTGCTTTGAGATGTTTTAGAACTCATGAACTGATGAGTACAATGGAAAATGCCATGAACATATAATCCACAACAGATTTTGAGCATCTTATTGTCTACTTGACAACAGAGTGAATTTCACTGATGACTGATATGAATCTATGACTAGTTTTAAGGTCCTCTAATAATGTAAATCATACAGATTTATACCATCTGTCTGTGGCTGTGTTCTTACCCTTTCTGTGGATCATTAATACACATCCCAAACTGCCGCGTGCCCGTGTCCATGCAGCGACGAATCATGAGGCGGTAACGTGGCTCAAAGACATGCAGAGGGCAAGGCACGGTGGGGTAAGCCATGGTACACACAAAGATAGGCACATTCTTCATGAGACTGCACAGAAGGACAGAAATATTTTAAACCCCTGAACCTCAATGAATCTTCTACATACTAAAACATATGTTGACAAACACTGAAATCAACCAAAGAAAGAGGCAAAAATACTTACTCAGACAGCTCTCTGGTCTCCTCCAGATGGGTTTTAGTCCTCTCTGCATAGTCCTGACTCAAATACTGTTTGGTCAGTGTGTCCAGGAGAGTTGTCACCATATACTTCCTACATGCTAGATACTGGTGAGAGCAGGATATGATAATGAATGATTTTTTTTTTTAAAGATTACTATCCAAACTGAATACATGCCATGGTTTCTCACCTCTTTCAGGCTCTCTTTACAGAGGGGACACTGGGGTGTGTGATCCAAGCAGCGTTCTAGACAGTTTTTACAGAAGGTGTGGCCGCATGGTGTAGTCACAGCCTCATAAAACAACCTGTATTGACCAGAGAGATGTAACAATCAACTGGCCATTTGCACAGTGTGACCTGGTAAGTAAACCTCATGGTAAATGTATGCACGTAGCTCAGTAGTGTGTTCTTACCTCATGCATAGAGAGCACTCCAAGTCACTGGGGTCCAGCAGGTCCTTGGGGACACTTCTGCAGGTTTTAATTTTGGCAGCCTGTTGTTTGAAGACTGTCACCACACATAAAATCAAAGGAGAAAATGCATTGTAATTTTATTAACAAAAGCATCATCTCTGAGATAGATATGGTCCTCCTGACTAGGCAGGGCTGGGCGATGTGGCAAAATATTTTATCACAATACATTCTTGATGTTTGTTTGCTTGACTGATGAACACAATGACGCAACAAATTATTAGAATCCAATAATATAATATATATTAATACGAACAGTGCCGTTCTGCTAATGACTGCTTTTACTTTTGGCACTTTAAGTATGTTTTGATGCTAATACTTTTCTACTTTTACCTAGGCAACATTTAGCATGCAGGGCTTTTAATCGTGGGAAGCGACTCTTTGAGCAGAGATTTGATGTGAAAATTAAAAAATAATAAACTATGAAGAACAGAAAACAGTACAATGAAGGGCTTGGCAACTGACCTTGTTTTTTATGTTTGCTACTTCCACTGTCCACAACACAGGGTTCCGTGTCTGACGACAACTTTCTCTTCAGCAGGCTCCCTTTCTCCTGGTCCCCCAGCTGAGGAGCAGAGTAGACTCTCTTCAGGCCCTCCTCATCATGGCTAGAGCCATGCATCCGTAACGAATGAGCTCGGCTCAAACCAGGGCGCTCCAGACTTTCCCAGTGTTCCTGGATAATGACACAAAACATGCACTGAACAATCCATTAATGATTATGTAAGATCAGTGCATGGTGTGGTCATACCTCCTGGTTGTCCAGATGGTGGTTTACAGAGTTGGCACAGACTTGGTCTTGGTGTTGTCTTTGGACTGGGCTATGTGGGTGAGCTTGGGCATCGGCCACAATAGTTTTACTGTGCAGGTGAGGTGATGCGTTCTGTGTAGTTTCCCTCAGGCCGACCTTCACATTCTCACCAGCAGGAGAGAGCAAGTCACACAAGATCTGAAAAAAAGCCTCAGTGTCACAAAAGACAACTGAACCGAACTGCAAGAGACAGGCTAAGATGAATATCTGAGCTGTCACTGGGTGCAAATGTGGATGCAGGTGTGGGTGTTTGTCATGTATTAGTTTTATTCCTGCTTTCTTTAAATAAAATTCAGTCTTACCACCAGATGCTGGCATATAACTAAATACTGCTGGTACACAAGATGAAAGTGTAAATATTTAAAAATGTGATTCATGTTGATAAGTTGATCATTACTTCATTTGTTCTGAAAGAGCATCTTGCAGCCTTTATGAGCCATGGAAATGCTACAACCCTGTACATGGATCTGATGCAAAAATTACTTTTGAAAAGTCATTTTCCTGTCAGGTTTTGTATAAAAAAATGTAAATGAGTTTAAACATTTTTTACTCAATGTGGGTTATAGTAATTTTGCTCAGCTTTATTTCATGACTGTCATCTTGACCCATTTGCTTTCAAAAGGTTTATATTTTCTTCTAAGATTTCTTGTGTATGTTTTCTCTCGGTCTGTCTCCGAGTGGCCATCAAGGATAGAAGCTGTTATTTTCACTTTCTTGAATATGCTGCTTTCATTATATGGGTATTGGAAAGGGCTTTGAGACTAAATGTGACTACAGGCTGCACAAAATATGACATTTTATTGATGCAGGCTGTCTGGCACCCACACTCTCAGGATTAGAAGGATAAAGAATTCAGACAAGATGCCAATACAACCAGCATCCTTAAACAGCTGCTCCAATCAATTTCACACATTTTACCAAGTGAAAACAGAAGCTATAAAATGTGATTGTGTATGGTTCCTTAAACAGTGATAATTACATACAACCTAAGCAGCATTAGCAACTAAATTTAACATAGTTTCATCAAAAAAAGACAACAAACTGTCATGGTATTCTGAGAATACAGTGAGTCTACTGTGTGTTACTACAGTGCTGTGTTCTGTCTGTTAGGTGGTACTAATGTCATTACAGGCACACAGCCACTGGATCTGTCCAACTAACAACTTATGCAATTCCATGACAGATGATCCTAATAGAAAGAACAGACAATATTTATGGATGATAATAGCATGAATTCTAGTTGATATTCTTTAAAAGATGCACACTTTGCATTTCCAACCGCATTATGTGGTAGTAGCACCATATATCTAAGCTGTTTTCATTTTATTTTTGGAATTAATCTGATTTAGCTATAAACTCTAAAAAGTGACAAGTGCTCACCTGACTAAAGCATATCAGCATACAGCATAACCCCAAATTATGCTTCACAAAAACAAGCAAGCAGAAAATAGTAGCATGAATGACGGTCTGCTTCTGTTTTTGCAAGCATTTTGCTTGTTTGTTTTTGCACATCTTGAGCAGCTGAGCAGGCCCTCCCTTAGTCTGAGCGTGTTAGCTCGAGCTTCCCCAAATTATGCTTCTCAAACAAATTTGTATTTATTGTCTGTGAAATGTGCTAAAATGCACTATATACAGTAGTTTCCCTTTTCAATTAAAATAGACCGTCTTAGGTCGATATGGATGAGCAGAATCTTATTGTAAGTGATCTCTGTTAGCATATTTCAGACATTTTCTGTGTAGCGGACAATGCACAATGTAAATCCTATTAAAACCGTAGCAGTACAAGGGATGCTTTTATCAGGATGTTTACAGCTAAACTGTTTGTTTAGTCATAAAACTAAAGTGGAATTGTGAGATCCATGGCATTAAAGAAGACAGGTTCCATTAATTGAATGCAATATAAATGCACATGCTATCTATAAAAATAAAATAAATGACTTTAAGGCAATCAAGATTATAATGGGGGAGCTTCACATTCCCATCTATCCAGGCAAGGAGTTGGGACAGTAATGTCCCTAGAATCTTTGATGTAATGTTATAGCCCAGGCATGTGTAAACTACAGTTCGCGGACCGTATACAGCCCGTTAGGCATTTTAATCCGGCCCGCCGAACTTGTCCAAATTATATTATTAAATTCAACCTCATTCGTTTTGCCTTTTCCCTGCAATTCCCATGTTTCCCCTATAGATGGTGCATTTTAGACATATTGACCTCTCTACTTCACCTTTTCACTTTGTCCTTTGACCTCTTCTGTAAAAATGAGGAGACCAAAGACAAAGAAAAGTGGACAAGTGTTTAATAAGGAGTGGACAACAGCTACTGCCCAGAGGTTGATGGCTAATTTACAGATTCAGCAAAAGTGTTTCTCACCCGACAAACTGCGATTCAAGAGTCAAGTACCAATGCAAGTTTTATGCTGGTATTTAAATTAGCAAAGGCTAGCAAGCCTTTCTCTGAAGGCCAGTTTTTGAAAGAATGCATGGTAGAGACAGCAGGTCTCTTGTGTCCAGAGAGAAAAGGCAAGCTTGAAAAAAATCAGTTTACCACGCAGGACAGTGACTCGCCGTGTGGAACTGATTGATGAAGTTAAACAAAAAGGCGGAGTCCTTTAAGTTTTATTGACTAGGACTGGATTAAAGTAACAACATAAAAGACACTGCTCAGCTCCTAATTTTTATCTGAGGGATTAACGACAGTTTTGGGATAACGGAGGAGTTTTTGGCCATGGAGTCCCTAAAAGGAAATACGTGAGGAGAGGACTTATATGACCGGGTTTCTGCTGTCATCAAGAGAATGAAGCTACCTTGGGAGTAAACTTGCCAATGTCACCACAGATGGATCGCCAAATTTAACTGGAAAAAACATCTGGCTGCTGAAAAGAATCTAGGATAAAGTGAAAGAGGAAAACCCTGACCAGGATGTTATTTTCCTTCACTGCATCATTCATCAGGAATCTCTGTGTACTGTAAGTCTGTATTGCAGCTTAATCATGTCGTGAATCCAGTCGTAAGACATAACTTTATACAGGCAGGGGGAGTTCAGCACCTTCAGTTTATTACGTTCCAGGAGGAACATCAACAAAGCCAGTCACAGATCCATGTTAACTGACCAACACCTCAGATCTATCCTGAGAATTGCCACAACAAAACTAACTCCAGACTTTGATGCACTGGCTAAAAAAGGGAAACCAACAACACTTTTCCTACTCCAGACTTTGATGCACTGGCTAAAACGGGAAACCAACAACAGATTTCCCACTGAAAGTGAAGGTTTATTTCTCTACTGTGTTCTGGGAAAAATGCATTTGGAGAATAATTTGTACAATAAGCCTTGCATATTCATGCTTTGCTACCTGCTAAAGGCCAAAACCTTTTATGTAACGGCTTTTATCTGTCATTTATATTAGTTCACACAAACACTCCATCCTTCTGCTCCTGGCCCGGCCCCCCTGTCAAATTTTAGAACCCATTGTGGCCCACAAGTCAAAAGTTTGCCCACCCCTGGACTAGCCCCTCCAGCCTACTTGCAGAAAACCATGTAACCTCACCTCCACTGACTGACAGACTTCAGAATGACAGCAGCACCTAATATTTTGTATCCTTCTCTTTCCATTCTGCCCGAGACTAATGACAACTTTTCCATTCTCTCACCTTCTCCACTTGTCTCTTAGCACAGGGAAAGTCCTCGTCCACAGCCAGGCACTGAAGGAAGACTTGGAGAGACTCATCCACCTGGCCCATTTCATGTAGCACCATAGCTTTCCTATACAAACACTGACAGGTTAGAAAAGAATATTAGAATAGAATATTTTGGATCGTCAATAAATGTATCAGAAATTACCAGTTATGCAACAGCTTTTGCATGACAAATGTTGCATCACAGATGAAAAATATTCTGGGATTCAACCCAGACATTTGGTCTCAGTAACAGTCATTAATGGCTTTAACCATAATCAGTGCATTTTCAGCTGCAGTCTAGAAAACCTCATTTAGTCATAAGACTCTTCTGTAACTTATTTACCCTAAGAGAAAATGTTTATGTAATAGTCAAACAAATCAATAGAATTGTTAAAAATATGTCTTGTAAGCAATAAACCAACAGGAACACCACAAATAAATTATTCCTGGATTTAGTGAATTCAGCTGCCAAGTCATACATCCAAAATAAATCTGAAAAACCTTTTAATTCTATAACAAAGCAAATTAACCAATAAACATACATGAACATACAGTATTTCTGTATGTCCAATGTCGTTAAACTTTAATCATAAAATCAGAATAATGGGAACCAAATGCTTGCACAGAAGAAATGTTCATTACAACATTTTATGTAACATTTCTCCTTTCATCTATGTAACAAATTGCTGCAAGTGTCAGTGAGTGACCTACTTCAGCAGAAGAGCTGGACCCAGGACAAAATTCTATGTCTGCCAAAGCCAGACGGTACTGTTTGAGGGCCGTGTACGCCTCGGCGCGAGAGAGTCGCGCCACCTCTGTCGTCTCTGGGTCTGCAGGAGACGTGAGGAAATGGGGAGGGCAAAGAAAAAAGATTGTTAGCAATAAGAAATCATTTCTATATAAATATGCTTCTTCAAATATTGGAAAACACAGCACTGAATATCATAATACCACCACCACCATACTAATCATACACAATCTGACATCCAATTCTGCATACAGTGGGCAAACCCACAATTTTTTCTAGTTGCATTTGCCTCAACACATATGTGAAAAACCTTTTCTCTTTAAACTTGACTGGCATGTTTGTGCAGAACTCAATGGGAGCTGTGGTCATGAATCCACTCTGCTGCTCTTCTCCTCCTCACTGATCACAAAAAGCCAAGAAAACCAGCATGACGGGGCATGAGGCAGGAAGTGAAATAACTGAACTGGATTATTAATATGAACTTCTTGGATCATTTAAATTTTTCTGGGACTGCAAAGAGACAATAAGATCCACAACACCAAGAAGACGCAACACAACAGCAACTATGAAGGAGAGCCACCTCATGGTCTGTCTAAGAAAACTTTAAGACATGAGGGACCATTAGGGATCAGAGAAAGAGTCTCCACCCCACATGCCAACCTCCATAAATGGGGGCTCATCGTCTTCACTTTTCCTCATGCCTCCCATCCGGGATGTCATCCGAGATTGTGTACATAATACAACCTTCTCTTACTGATATGTACCTGTTGGGTCACAAGGATGATGGCACTCATGCATGCTCCCAGAACAAACAGTAGTTTTCCCTATCCCTGTGATGATAGCTAACAGAAACAGAATGGTGCATCCTGCTCTGTCATATAATCCAAAAACTCAGTTCAATTCCCTGCCTGCTCTGAGCCCTCCCACTAATTCTACAAAAGGTAGCTTTATTAAATATTCAATCTCTTAGCAACAAGTAATTTTATTCAATAATCTTATCACTACTAATGGTCTTGATTTTATGCTTTTATCTGAAATTTGGTTACACAATAGGAACAGTGCGCCAGTTCTCATTGAGTCTGCCCCTCCAAACTTTACATTTATTAATGTTTCTCAATCTGACAGAAGTAGTGGAGGTGTCGCTGCTGTTTAAAGGCTCATTCCAGTGCAAACAGTTATTGTGTGGTGATTCTGACTCTTTTGAATATCTCTGTTTTGTGTTAAAAAGCACACCAACGGTCCTGCTGTTAATAATTTACAGGCCTCCAAGGTCATCTTCTATTTTTATTGACAATTTCAATGAGCTGCTTTCTCTTATCACAACAGATTTTGAGTATATTGTCATAACTGGTGATTTTAACATTCACACTGATAATCCAAAAGACAAAACTTGCAAAAGAATTTTGTGGTGTTTGTGACTTTTGATTTGTTGCAACATATGAAAGGGCCCACACACACTCAAGGGCACACAGCTGATTTAGTTCTAACCAAGGGTGTTGATATTCAAAGCAGCGCAGTCAAGGATGTCGCCCTGTCTGAGAATTTCTGTAATTTCTCAGTTTGACCTGCTACCTGAAACACATCTGTTGGTGTATATAAAAAAAAAAAGTATACTGTCTCTGTCTTTATGGAAGCTATGTCTGTGTCAGTAAGCCCAACACCAGACTCTATCAATTCATTTTGCACCTGAAAAGGTAAAATACACCTCTAGAAAGCAAAAGGTACCACATAGAAACACTAGCCATCAGAATTCAGAAAAGACAGCACAGGAAAGCTGAAAAAAATGGAGGAAAGATAATCTTCAGATTCATTATGAGATCTTTGAAAAGAGGCTTTGCATTTAAAACTCTGTAAAAATAAGACCCAATAAGCCGGTTTCTCTAATATCATCACCAGGAATATCAATAGTTCTCATGTTTTGTTTGCCACTGTTGAGAAGCTAACTAATACCCCAGCATGGTTATCAGACTGGCCATAAAGTCCTTAAACCTTGGTTCAGAAGCTGCTTTTAGATACTATGCTGCACGCAGATGGAAACACGTCCTGATGGCTTTAAATTTGTTTGTCTAACCCAAGTCTATACTGAGAACACTGCTGTTCAACTTACTATTGCACTGTAACTGTTAGAAGTTCATGTTTCAGACCTTTTACCCTGTTTGTTTTTAATTTTCATTTCATGCATGTATCTCACTTTAACAATGTTTTATCTTTGATTGGCCTTAACTGATTTAATTCTCGTTTTAATGCTTATCGTTTTTATGCTGTTACAGGTTTTCTTTGATTATTTAAAGCACTTTGAATTGCCTCTGTGTATGAAATGTGCTAAATAAATAACGCTACCCTGACTGAAATTGTGGTAGATCAATTTTATGTCAGCCGATTAGTCAATTATTCAACTGGTCATTTCCAGGTGTAAGGGTCACTGAAGTTCTTGTAACAGTAGCATAGGTCTTTTGTAAACAATCCTGCAGGCAATGTTTGAGTAACAAAGGACAGTGGGATTGTAGCAAGGTTGTGTAATACCATTTCACTTGACCCAAATACCGCTGAGGTTTCCATAAATAAGACAAAGTTCCACAACAATTTTTGCTCCAGGTTCGAGCCAGGGATGACCCAAAACCATGCAGAGTTTGCATGTTCTCCCTGTGCCTTGCTAGGGGTTCTCTCCGGGTACTCCGGCTTCCTCCCACGCAGCTTAGGTTGACTGGTGACTCTAAATTGCCCGTAGGAGTGAATGTGGGTGTGTGTAGTTGTCTGTCTACCAGTCTATCACAGGGCTGACATGTAATTTGTCCAGGGTGTACACTGCCGATGTCAGCTGGGATTGTCTCCATCCCCACTTGTGACCCTATTCAAGAATAAGGGGCATAAATAATGGATAGATGAAGTTGGTTATTTTAACATGGGAGTCTGTGGGGATTGACTCCCTTTTATAGCCAACCTCAAGTGACCATTCCAGGAACTGCCAGTTTTGGCATTTCATTTCTCAGCCTCAGAGGTTGCCACATGGTTCTTGTAGAAGAACCCACAGTGCATCATGCCATTTTCAGTTCCACAAACCACAACATTTTTATCCCTCTTTATACAGGATCTGCTCAGTGAACACACAGGCAGTTTCCCCACATTGGCCCACCTCCACTGGGGAATTTGGAATTTGAGTTCTTAGCACAACAGCATGTTATCCCATACTGTATAGCTACAATTAACCATTCAGTTATCTGAACCAGCAACCCTTTCTGCCACATCTACATCAAAAACTCGGTAGTAATAAATCATTTGCCACACAGGTAGCTTACTTTCACTCACTGCATAACGTTAAGGTCTATTACAAAAGCTGACTGCCTTGCTGAGTGTCTTATCTAGACCACCATCATTCCCCTGCATCTTAAACTAACTCACCCCCTTTTAAAAGCATTTATAAAGCATGTTCTCGTAGCAGCCATCAGAAATACAAACTACATATACCACCCCCTAGGATAAGTTACAAAAGCTGCCCCTGTTCATGTCACGACCTGCCTTATGCAACTTGCACGGAGCGCGCATGCCCAACGGGTGCAATTTCGTAAGCAGGACGCATCAGATGACAAACAGCCAATTGCGACTGGTAGCAAGACAACACATGGAGCATTAGTAACAGTTTTCAAAATGTTGGCCAGTGGAACTCATCCTACTTTTAGCCTGTATGCACGCACTGACAACAAACAACCCCATATTACAGCGTCAAGTTCAAGTATACCCCGGATGTTTTCACACAGGGACGTTAGCTACGTAATAACACACATTTGCAGTGGGAGTGCGCATGAGACACACCGCCGGTCAGGAAACGCCTCTTTCTTGACAACATGGACGTTAGGTTATGGTAACAACACTTACCTGACTCGATAACGTGGGTTGCTAGCAAAACAGCTTCTTGGTAGCGTTTGTTTCTACACAGCTCGTCCACTTCACATACTGTTTTCGACTTTTTCAACTCGTCGGGGAACCATTTGTCTAAAAGTCCGCACAGAATTACATTCGCTTTCTCCTCGCCCCTTACGGCTTCATTGCACAACTTACATTTGGAGAGCAGCCGTCGATATAAACATCTTTTACAATAAGTGTGTCCACAGGCTATGGTCATAGGTTCACCTAAAAAGTTATGGCAGTTCGGACAGTCAAACACGTCGCCCCCGGAGTTGTCCCGTCTGTGGCCCGAGAGTGGGTCTGGCACCGCCGCCTTTGTCTTAAAGTTGCGAAGGATACAGTCCACGAAAGAGTTTAATTGTTCAGGTCGCACGGGACCATACCGCATAGCCACGGAAAACCAGTAAATCGCTTCTGTGAGGTAGTTTTCCGATGCTAGCGCGTTGACTTTCTGTAATAAAAGCTGATGATGGTCCTCTTCTTCCGAGACGTGTTTCGAGTCCGTGCCGATGAAAAAGGCGCTTTTCTCCTCCGGGGCGTCCTCTACTTGCGGCTGGAGAGACATTATAGCGTCAATAATTAAATAGACAACTGTTATGGAGATTTAGTTTTTATTCTGTTAACGTTTCTATACATTTCTGTAGCTGCCGCGGTCCTTCACATTATAGACACCCGTTTGTTACATAAAAAAAAAACCGTCACGTGAACACAGACTCGGGACGTGATTGGTCAGAACGTCTCGGTTACAAAACCTGCGCTGGAAAGTTTCATAACTACGGAAAGGACGTTGTGAGCTTCCCTGCGCCAGATTCCAGCGCATCCATTTGATTCTTACTGCTGTGCTCTTAAATGCCCTCAGACTGGAATACACCACAATACAACAGAACAAAAGCACGATATACAACTCTTTTATATATCTATCAAAACGTTGGTGTTTTTAAAAGTCTACCCAGAACCCCCCTTCATAACTGGTTGTGCAATAAGATTTTGTAAAACCTACTAAATTTCAGTTTTAGGCCTAATTTATTTTAGCTTCCCTAGCTGTGTCTAATCCTTTTTATTGCCACTTTCTAAGACACCTTTCCCAGTAGCCTGCACATTTACTTTTCATGCATTTTTTCCTCATAGAAAAAATAGTCAGCATCATCCACCTTTTCCAAACCTTGTCACAGGAGAGGAACTCTTCTGTTGTGACATGTTGCTGTGTCTATAACCTCCCATCATCACCTGTCATCCCCTGAAGCTGGTCATAGCCTCTGTGTTGCTTTTTACAACAACGTCTTTAACAGTGATAAATGAAAATTATTATTAATTAAGCCTAACAAGAGCATGATGGTGGCTTGAGTGTGGTGCAAACTATTTAAAGGATCCACCAACAAGTCAATGATATCAATATATTGTAACACTTTTGTTTCTTTTTATGGAAGGAATTTTTTTTTTTTTATCTCAACTTGACTTATTTGAAACAAGCCCTTCAATAAATAAACAAATAAAACGGTGTTTTAATATGTAAACATCCTAATCTACACAGCACTGCAACATATAAAATCAGAATCAGCTTTATTGGCCAGGTGTGTTGGACACATGAGAAATTTGACTGTGGTACAGTGGCTCTCAATGTGTACGTACATATCAACAAGCAAAGGAATGTGCATTAGGAAAAGAGATAAAAAAATAAGAGTAAAGTATGTAACAATAGAGACCGGTCCATATATGTATATATACATATACTGTATATATTTACAGGTATTGCACTGAGGGTTAATATCATACATACATGAGACATACTCATGTGTTAATCAGAGAGATGGCTTGGGGAAAGAAACTGTCCTTGTGCCTGGTTGTCTTGATGCACAGTGACCTGTAGCACCATCCAGAGGGGAGGAGTTCAAACAGATTGTGTCCAGGGTGTGACACAATAAAGGTGATTATCCTCCTTCCTGTCCTGTTTGGTTGCTGAGCCAAACCAGACAGTGATGGAGGTGCAGAGAACAGACTCGATGATTCCTCTGTAGAACTGTATCAGCAGCTCCTGGGGCAGGTCGAACTTCCTGAGCTGTAGCAGGAAGTACATCCTCTGCTGTGCCTTATTTGTGATGTCCACTTCACGTCCTGGAGATAGTGGAGCCCAGGAACTTGTAGGAGTCTACTTCTGATACAGTGCTGCCAAGTATGATAAGTGGAGGTAAGGTGGGGGGGTTCTTCCTGAAGTCCACTGTTTTGAGCGTGTTCGGCTCCAGGTTGTTGCAGCTACACCACAGGACCAGCTGCTCAACCTCCCGTCTGTAGGCTGACTTGTCTTGGATGAGACTTGGATGAGTTGGGGAGGGTGAGGGGGGGAGTGATGATTCTCAAACATGCAGTAAAACTCATTCAGGTCGTCTGCTAGTTGATGTTCCTCCACAGCAGGGAGGGATGGTTTCCTGTAGCCAGTGATGCTAGTGCTATGATGCCATCAAACAGGACAGCCTCCTGTCCTTTTGTTCCAAATTTAAAGTCATATGAGGTCTTAAAGAAACACATGCACATTACTATGCATCACTGTTTTTATGGAGAATTATGTGACAATTACTATTGGAAGGAAATATGAACTTAACTGCAACAAAAGTGCTGTTATAACATCATCAGCCAGCTTAAAAAAAATAATCCACGGAATAACAAAAACAACAAATAATTTCATGCAGCAGAAAAAGCTTTCTGTATCCACTATATTGATCTGATGTATAAAGTCATTTAGGGATAAGCTATTGAACAGTTTAAGTTCTTCCTGGAAGGGTTATAAGTTATAAGTATGATCATATGCAATATCTCAGGAAGTCACAATGAAAATATTATTAATCTTTTTATCAGTGCTGGTGCTCATTCGTTTAATTTAATGTATGTAGTGCTGTAACTCGTTGGAGAAACGTTTGAAGGACAACATAATGTACAGTTGAGGTTGTATGGGGTTCAACAGACCAAACATGATGGAGCTATTGTGGGGGGACACTGCCCCCTAGTGGGAAAAGTGAGCAATTACTCCAATTAGACAGGCATAGAGGAGTTTAGTGTGAATTTATAAAATGCGCTATGAAGAAATGTACACATAAAATTAAAGGCGTGTTTAGTACCAGTAACAGGACAAAACAAACAAAGAAGCAAAAAAATAAAGAATCTTTTAGACAGGCTTTATAAAAAGGTGAAAAACTGAAGCAGTGGGAGAGAAAGTCATATAGTTGTCAACCTATTTCCTGGGTATGTGTTCTTATCAATAGATGATGACGTTAGCCGACTAACTCTCTGAACTCTTTAAGGACCTTAATTGAAAATAAAACATGTATTTTAAAACTTCAGTTTAAGAGGATGTTTGCATTTTTAACATTAAAATTTATAAACCAGAAGCAATTTGATGTATATTTTTGATTTGTTGAGCTGTTTTGGTGTCTTGGTGTTATGCTACTATATTCATTTTATGAATTTTATTGAGTGTAATTTCAGCAAAAAATGGGGCTGAAGAATGCAGAGAAAGATTCAGTATGGGCGAGCAAACTGGCCGTATTCCAAACAGCCACCAGAGGGCAGTGTTGAGCTGTAAAACAGGCATAAATCCGTCGTCACTTAACTGGTTCAGTGACCACTACTGTGTGCTACACTGGTGGAAGAAGTACTCAGATAGTTTACATAAGTAGAAGTAGCAATACCACAATATAAAAATACAAGTGTACATGCTTGAAATAAATAAATAAATAAAAAAGTAAAAGTCCTGCATTCAAAATTTTACTTAAATAAAAGTGCAAAAGTATCACAATATACTTGAAGTACCAAAAGTAAATGTACTCATGCAGAATGGCACATTTCACATCAATGCATGTTATATTACTATATTATATTTATTGATGCATTTTTGTGTACATCACCTTTATCTCTAATCTGAGCTAACTGTAGTGAAGTTGAAGTACAAATTAGGAGAAAATGGAAATACTCAAGTAAAGTACAAATACTTCAAAATTGTATTCAGAACTCGAGTAAATGCACTTAGATACTTTCCACTAGTGGTGTGCCACACATGTTAAGAAATAAATGTTTCAAGGATGGTAGAAAACCAAGGAAACAGACATAGAAGAGAGTCAGTATTGCTTAACTCATGGTTTAAGACTTGACAGCACCACGTCAAATAAATTTGTTCAGTTGAGAGAATTTTCGGGGTTCCAGTCCTCAGTGAACCCCAACACATTTCATGCGTGTTTTTGTACCAATTTTGCCCTTTCGTTCCTGCTTCAGGTAGTGACTCTGCTTCAAGCATTAGTGCTGATTGTGTTTCTGCTGGAAATGTAGCTTGACTGTCTTTTTCTATTTGTATCTGTCATGCCACATTCCTTCTCATTTCCTCTCTGTCACACAAACATTCACATGTGCTCACAAACGTGAACATTCACTGAATCATATCAGGACTGATATGGCACTGATACGTTCCTTCTCATTTCCTCTCTGTCACACACACATTCACATGTGCTCACAAACGGGAACATTCACTGATACTGATATGGCTCATGTTTGTGTGACATGAATTTAACCATTAAAACAACATGCCATTTAAAAAAACTAGAAAGTGTGTGAGAGCATGTGTGTAGGTGTATTTTTCCTGGCACATACTGTAGTGTACCCCAACCCTGGAAGACAGACAGACAAATCTGTTTTTCCCTGCTTAAATTCTTTGCTGTCATACCTGTCAGAAATTTCTGGAATACTGAGATAAGCTGAGGAGTTACACGAGGTCACTATAGAAACATTATGTGAATAGATTCTTTGTTCAATATGGTGTTATCGTGTCAACATACCATTTCTGTTACCACAGGTAATCTACAAAAAAAAACATGGAGATATGTGGCCCACAGTTCCTGTTAGATACCTGGCATGTCTGTGGGATTTCTTGTGACCAAAGATGATCATGCACAGATCATGCTGGTGCAGACGCCTGGGGAAACTCTGTTTTAGCTGTAAGATCTGTAAATTATCTGTAATAATTGGGTTAGTTTGTATGCCATTGTCTGTTTGAGTCATGTGGCAGGCTTCTCAAATGAGCATGGGCAGGTAGGTGGTGACATTTTTGTATTATTAAATGAGTAAAGTATCCCATGTTGATGCCTTTCAGTGTGACTTATGTTTAAAAATACAATTGGCAATTGTCTCTGGTCCTAGATGAAGACAGTGTGAAAACCTCAGGTATAAAAATAACATATAAAATCAGATCCTGCAATGACCTTCCCCGCTGTTCTGTTTCAGACTGTTTAGTACATTTCTGACAAATGCTTAACAAAGTGCAAGAAGATATGCATACGTGCAAGTATGTGCTCACACAACCATTTATCAATGTGGGAAACCTTTTGCGCTTGATTCTCAAACAGCGGCACAGGAATGCAGTGCTTGTGCTGACTCCTGGTCAGTCTTATCTGGACCCTGCGTAATCTCTCAGTGGTGTTGAGGTTCCCAACAGAAATGTGTATACATGTGCATACAAAGGAGTTGGAGTGAGAATTAGAAAGTAAAAGACAGCATAGTCCTCTAGAGGTTCATGTTATTTAAACAAAGATTTTTTTTTTAAGTTACATGGCAAGTTTAAAAGCAACTAGGTGTGCAATTATGTTTACACGTGTTTCTTCTGGAGCCTCTGGTTAAACTCTACTTCCTGAGTTTCACTCAACAGGACATGAAGTGTGCATGGTCCACCAGAAAAAAAACCCTGATATGCCAACACTTTAGTTTTGGGCTTTCACAGTCAAGTTTACACTTGTTTCTGCTGTCAGACTGTATATGTTTGACACCTTCATACACCTTGTGCACAGCCAAGATGTTTTTCTACCTACAGACAGCCTCTTCTCACTTTGCCAAGTGATTATAAAGGGAAATTTAGCCATTACTCTGACCCTTGGACACCCCCATTTTCCACATGACTGCCCCCGTCCTCACTGAGCCGAGACCAGGCTAGTGGTGATACAACAGCCCCCATTGTCTGCTGCTATATCAAACTGTTATGCAAGAAACAAGACAAGCAGTGAGATCACCATCTACAAAGCTAGTTAATATCCAGCTGACCTAATCAGGCCTGTCTTTATTTTTGAGGAATAAAGACAAGAGTGGAGTGGATGTGGTGAGGGAAATCCAGAGTTAGTTTGGATCTACGATGATGTTAGCGCCCACAACAAACTGTAATATAAACAAATGCCTGGAGAGATTATGCGGGATTTATATATTTTCTTTTGTAATATAAACAAATGCCTGGAGAGATTATGCGGGATTTATATATTTTCTTTTTTTTTCTGTACATCCACAACTCTCAAGACATTATTATTATTTTAATACATTTAATAGTGCACTTTGATTAACCTGTACAGAAATAATATTAATAAAAAAGATAAAACATTTGTTCATTTCTGTAACAGAACTTAACATTTACAATAAAATAAAATGATACAAAACAAACATATCTGAGGTATAAATATATTTAAATTAACTGCCATTGACATGCGTTACTATTTGGCAGAGACACAGTTAAAGGTACAAATATATATGATGTGAACCACTGCTTAGTGAATTAATCATACAACTCAACATGAAATATGCAAGCCCTCAGACTGAAGCGGAGTGTTATGAGGGAGGGTCAGCTTTGTTATGAGGACCCTAAATTGATCTTTAAACACTGAGAAGATAGAAGCTTACACAAACATATTTATCCTTCTTTTGAAACCACACATCAACAACAACATTCAGTCTGCCCTCTTTTTTACAGTAAAACCTGTAAAATCTCCACCTTTATAAAAGGACCTTTTTTCCTGTTTATTCTCATCTTTTCTTATAGGACTTATAATGGAATGGTGCATGGTTTTTTTGTTCTTATGTACATCTTAGCAACTGTGAAGTCAATATTTTTTTAATGTATACAAGTAATGATCCACCTAAAACAACTTCAGAAACTGAATTGTGCTGTGCTCTTAATGCCTTTAACAGTGAAGAAAGGCTCAACATCTTTCAGCTTTTTCTAAATTTGGTCCGCTAAAATCATTTGTCTGATTTATTTAGCAAAATATGCAACATTTCTTTTCTCTAACACAAAATCTCACTCTCACACAGCTCCCTGTGGACTCCTACTCTTCTTTAAAGCTATTATTCAAACTTTAAAGTTTCACCCTGGTGAGCCAGCCACCATACTCATCTGTCTCTGTCTTCTTCTGCTGCAGCACTAAAACTCTCTTCGTCATCAGCCACCTGTTGTCTCACAATATCCCGTCTCCACTCAGTCTGCATATTACCTGCACATTCACATCTTTCTTCACCCTTGGATTCATCAGTCAGCTGAGCACATGGTTGTCTGCTATCCTCCCGTGCTTTGCTTTACCACAAAAAGGGACAGAGGTAACACAAGACAGACACCTACCATTGCTATGAACAGACTATGTATGTACAGATAATGCTGCAACTGGAAACCAGTGTGAAGAATTTTTAATGGTTTGCTGCTTTGCACACACATACCTACACACACATGCTCCCACATACACCCAGTTCCCTTTGCTTCCCAGAAGCAATAGCACCCTTTGGATAAAGCTCAGCCTCACATCCTATATCAGTGACATCATGTCCTTTGGCCCAGATAAATGCTTGTGTGACATGAGTCCTCTTTGCAGCACACAGAGCTCCAATAAAAGCATTTCACAATGTGAACATCAGTCTGCTGGCACATAATCAGAGCAAAGACAAAGTCCTTCAATCCAGGATCCAGAGTTTGTCCTTTAAACGTGTATAAAAAGACTCTGAGTCCATCTACCTCTCTGTGGGAATGGGTGGAATGACTCTTGAGTCACTAGGAGGATCCAAATTGTGGTCCCACAATCGGAGGTTAAAAAAAAATCTGTTGAGAATTTTGTTGCCCAAACTGCACACTGCTTTCTCATTTGTCCATGGGCACAGTGAATGAGTCATGTATCCGTGCCACCTCAGCAGCACACAAGTGTCCATACAGTTTATTGTACCACTCTGGAAAACGACCCCTGAAAAACATGAAAAAGACAATGTATTAACTCATAATGTCATCCGGTAAATAAGTAATAATTAATGCTTGATCTAATCCAAAATTTGGTTTTGCTCCTGTCAATCGTCCACCCACCTGCAATCGACCCTGGAAATATGTGTGAGTCGAGATTTGTTGGTTCCGCAGGGCTCGATGAAGTAGCGTGAGGTGAGGACATTGGCCCGAACACCTACAACAGGTGCCCCGTCATGGTCCACAGATGTACACACAAGTGCACATGCTCCCTTTGGCAGGTCTGTTGCCCATGTTCTGGCAGAAGGAGCAGATTGAGTTTATATTATTTAGAAACATTTAGATCAAAGCGACACAGCAAAAAAGTCAAAGCAACAGGTGGGACAGACACAGAGGAAGACCGAAAATGGTTTACCTGAGTACCAGCTGGTCTCTGGTGGGATGTGGGGCCATGGTGTTCCTGATGTACTGGTAGATCTCCGTCCTCTCATCCAGGGTCTCCACCACTCGGCTCTCAAGCAGGTCCTCATCCCACTGGCCCTGCTCCCGTAACACCCGTGTCAAAACCTCCTCAGGACTCGCAGGCACCTCCACAGTGGCCTTCCACAGCCGCAGTGGAAACCCATCATGCACCTGGACAGACATACAGAAAAGCTGCATTATTTTACAGCTGGCTTACAGGGAGAGCAAAACAGAGTTAGTGTGAAACATTCCTGATTCACTGAGATAAACACAAGTTTAAACATTTTCCATGTGATTTTGAGAATTTAAAATCCAACGTGCTTATATTAGAATAATGCATAAATAATGCATCTAATCCTATTAGTCATATTCACAAAAATTAGATGTAATTACCAAGCCACAATCTTATACACAACGGTATGTGGTTTCAAATCCTGCCTAGTCCTTTAGTCAAGTCAGCTGCTTCACTCTGCCATCAGATGATAAAGAACACACTCTTTGCCTTGTGACTCTCGAATTGAAGAAGAGATAACCTCATACAGGGCCCTTGCACACGAGACACAGGACATGTATGCCTGATATAATGGTGAGGTTGTGTATGTGTCTGTGTCGAACTGATGTCATTCTGGGATGGAGTCCAGTACTGGGATGGGACTGAAAAGCTAGGCCAGTTTCACACGGCTCTGATTCTATACAGGAAACCCTCACTGCTGGTTTTCCACTAGATATTTAGAGAAGAAGGACAGATGGAGAAGCAAACACGAAGAGGGAAGCACAAGACAGGAAACAGAGATACTGTGTGCTTCGTGAACAGTGGCTTGTTTACACACAAATGACAGACTGATGATCTACTTTTTCTTTGCTAATCAGTCTTTTATGATTCCTTTTACTTTCACTCAGTGGCAATATACCACTGTATTCAGCTTCTGTCACAAACATATGGACTGAACAGATGAAGAAACAAGTGTTTGACAGAGCAGATGAATAAGTAGGCTCACCTTTCTATAGGCCAGCTCAGCGTGATCGGGCGTGGAGCAGCTGTCATAACCTTTAAACCTGTCCTTGGCCTCTTTGAGGAGGGCATCCAGGCTCTCCCGCAGATATACCCTGTAGCCTCCATGTCCAGCTTCCTCACCGGCAAGCTCCTCCAGGCGTTGTGGTAGCAGCGCCTGCTCCACATAGGAGTTCCTGCAGCGATTCATTTCCTCTGGAATCTATAGGTGGATGGTGAGAGTCAGGGCAGGTGTTCATGCTGTACATATGTCCTTTTTCATTGTGTGGCTGGAAGTCAGGAGTAGCTAAATTAAATGTTGGCTAAATGTGTGGATTCGATTTTGCTGTGAGAAATATGTTGACAACAACACGAAGCCACACAACACTTAAACATATAAAGGAGTAAAAATGTTAGCAAAATCTTGATACATTCTAGTCCCTCTCCACTCAATATTATGTTTTGCTTAATGTTACTTCACTTGGATATTTGAGCATCATTGTGCAAAATGATGTACCGTACAGACCATTTGACAATAGAAGTGTTTACGTTCATGATCTGAAGGGGTTTCAAGGAGTAGATGTAATTTTAAGAAACTTTCACTAATTAATTGAGATCTTTTGTTGAAAACTATATCGGAAACATTCTTCTTTCAAAGCAAAGTATTTATATGTCTTAAACAAGTCTGCAGGGGATTCTTAATTTATAAATCTCCTATGATCAGCACTGACACATGTTTTGTTTTTGTCAGGTATCTCCATCCTGATTACATACAGTAAATTCCATTAACAAAAGGGAAATGTATTAAGTGGCTAAAAATAATTTAAAATGGAAACATGTCCTATCCAATTTCCATCAGTGTGTTTGTCTAGCTCATTCTCATTATCCCTCTCTGACTTATATCTGCAATCTTTCAGGTTGATTTGATTATCCACAGTATTACTGCCTAAGAAAAGGCTAGTTACAGTAATTACATTCAAATTCATAGGTCATCTTCCATTTATTAACCTCTATGAGCAAACAGAAATCTAATTAAAAGAAAATAACTTGAGTGCTAACCAAGTTTTCCTGTTGTGTGATGTGAGGAAGCTCATCTAATAAACCTTGAACAGTAATGACACACAGCATACAGTCTGTTAATCATTTTTATAACATGTCTAAAAAGCTTTAATTTGATTAATGATAATAAGTGTAGTCTACTGATTTCTTTTTTATGCCATCAACTGCTCATCTTATGAACACACTGAGCCATACTGGTTGACTATGTTTTACCTTCCCGCACAAAGGAGGAGGTCAGTTGGCACATTTGTTATATGTAATCATAACAGTGCTTGAGCAAATGGCATGACATGAGCTGAATCAACCTGTTACATAACTGGGACTATGTCTGTTTACAGGACAAATACTGGGTTGATAAGGTGTTTGACAAAAACATGGTATTGTGAGCCTGCAGCCCCATTAATATTGTCAGAAAACACACCTTTGTTGCCAAACAATTCTCAGTCAATAGACCATTCTGAATTGTGTTTGTATGGGATCTATTTTCCTTTTCATTTTCAAGCTAACATACCCTTTTAAAGTGTTAAGTTAGAGGACACGTTCAACTCCTGTGTTGTAAACTACTGACCCGGAAGAGTTTCCTGCACTCCTGGATCATGTGTGCCAGGCCATGAGTGGCAGCCAGGTTCTCATTCAGATCCCTCTGGTCCGGCTTCCCCAGTGTCTGCTTCCTGTTCATCACCCTTGGACCAAGGAAGGGAAAAAGGAAGACAAATGGGCATAACGACAATAGCAACAGTGCCAGGAACGAAGGGTGGAAAGAAAGGGCTTTGCTGTATGCACCTGATGAACTCTAATCTCAGACTGCCAAATGTGGAATAACATGTGTTTCTTAATTAGTTAAAGATGTTTATATAACCTTTCCATTTCATCTGTTTCTCTCCCTTTCTCTTCCCTCAAGCACTGCCCTCTTCCTTTTTCTTCTGTCCTCCATCTACGGCATCCTGCTCTTTTGTTTCTTTAGAGTGACCCTTCCTGTTTTTAGATTGTACAGCATTACATATTATGTAAACTGCTAACACAATAACTACACTAGTGGCGGCATTGAAAATAAAGGCAATCATATCATAAAATTGATCTGACTACAGTGGCACACACTCACACACACCTCGGCGAGGAGCTCTCCTTGCGGCGCAGGGTGTTGAGGTGGAAAAGGGATGGAGCCAGACAAACAGCCAGGTTGGTGGGAGTCATCTGGTTCTCAGCCACACTGGCCGTCACATCACTTAGCAAACACAGCAGCGTCTGCAGGGCCTCTCGGTTCTCATCAGGCAGCAGCAGCACGGCGGCACGAGCTGCCTGCAGACGGAGCTCTTTGGGCATGTCTAGAGAGGAAGAGGAAGGATGTCATGACACCTTTTAATATGATATGCAGAAAAAGACTAATAACCACCAGCATTCTACACCCTGTCATAGCTTTTGTGTCCATTGGTTAACTCAGGAAGGAGTTTGAATATTGCTTCACTTCATTTACCTGGAATGAGATATGACAGGATCTGCTCTGAGTTATGTGTGTTATATAAGAGTACTGTATACAGTATGCATACCTTGTTTCATACACAGTACTGGTCTGTGGTTAACCTTAGATAATCCCTTCCTCTTGCAGCAACCATGAAAGAGCAGGACTTGAGAGGATGTCCATGCAAATACTGAGTCACAGAAGTATGAGCCAGTGGAATTATGGTACCTGTAAGACCTCGTTCCAGTGGTATTTCCTGCGCATTATCTTGTTTTCTTTTTACAGTTTCACAATTTCTTGCACCATGGCAGGCAAGCATCTACAACGCTACACTCATGTGTACTATTACAGATATGTGGCTGTGTATCTGAGGTAAAGGCATACTGTATGTTACTGCATGTGAATGTCTGTACAAGATTTTATTTATGTGGATGTGTGTGTATTCTTACACTGGTAGATCTGGAGGAAGGTCTCAGATAGTTTGCTTGTGAGCAGGGGTTCTGGCAAATCTCTGAAGTACTGCTTCACCATGTCTGCAACGTCATAGGCCGACTGACCCTCGTAGTTGATACCTCCCCCGTCTGCACCACTCGCCTCATTCATCTGGCGAAGAGCTTGGATTCGAGATTTGACGCCTGATTTTCTGAAAAGACCCACCTGGACAGAGATACAAGGACAAAGAGAGAAGGAGTTAATAATATACATGCATGCACAGAAACTGAAAAGTCAGATTTAAACCATAATACACTTACTAGACTCACTGCACTGTAATGTCTGATGTTGTCATTAAGACTTATCATGTGCTTGTCCTCTCAAGCTGCAGGCTGTTATTACAGAAAAATATTATTCTTGAAAAATCCCCAAATCCAGAGCTTACAGTAAATATGGTTACAAAACAGATCCTGCTGATTGTATCTACAAGAAGCTCCCATGACACCCAGTAGGCATTCTAGTAATGAATGTTATGTAGAACCTCATCAGTAGCCTTTTAAGGCTGTACATAATGGCCGTGTTGGAGAGGAAAACAGAAAATGCCATTGGCTGGTCCAGCCTGAATATTTTCCATGATATTTCACCACTTTCAAACAGAGGCGCCTTGTCCTGCTTTGAAAAGAACACCATCGTTCTCTTTTCTGTTTTGCCCTCCATTATTAGCCATTTTCTCCTTATTCTCCCATTCTTTCACTCTCTTTTTCTGATTCACTGCTCAATCTTATGTAACAACCAGTGAAACAAATCATGGATGAATATTAGACTGATTGCAGTTGTCCAAACACTGTACTGTATGTTACCTGGTCGAGGCACTGATTGCGCAAATAGCGCATGGCCTGCTGGATTCCCTGAGGGAGTGGCTGGCCTGTCCGTTGGACGATGACTTGAAGTGGTACACCAAACACATTCCTGTCCTTGTAGTCACGCACCTTGATCCGTTTCATAAACTTTGGTACCGCCCTGCAATATACACACACACACAAGAATAGTATCATCAATATCTGCAGCACAGGATATTAATGTGTATTCACATGAGACCATTTTGGAATGCCACTTTCAGCTTTTTCCCATATTGACATTTGGCATGTGTTTTATGCCAGATACCCTTCCTGACACAACCTTGACTTGAACCCTGACTGCAGCGGTGAGGGTGCTGCGCCCAAACCACTAGTCTATCAGGGAACACATGAGATCAGTAGCTGCATAAATTCCTACTCAGTCTTTTATAGTACAGTTAGATTCAGTAATCAGGATAAACAAAGGTCTGTGTACCGACATAAACATAAATTAATCTTTAGAATTTAAAACATGTTTCCAAAGGTCATTTATTTAGCTCAGATTTAACTTAAATGTTTGTAAAACAAACATTTTATATGTGGGCAGCACAGTGGTGCGGTGGTTAGCACTGTTGCCTCGGCCTGAGAAGGTTCCAGGTTCGTGACCTCTCTGTGTGGAGTTTACATGTTCTCCGGGTGCTCCGGCTTCCTATCAAAGACATGTGGCTTAGGTTGATTGGTGTCTCTAAATTGCCCATAGTTTGTCTGCATGTCAGTCCTGTGATAGACTGGCGTCCTGTCCAGGGTGTACCTCGCCTCTCGCCCGATGCCGGCTGGGATTGGCTCCAGCCCCATTCGGGACTAAGTGGTATAGATAATGAATGGATATTTTATGTGTGTGCAAGGAGGAAACCAAGCAGCTGCAAGAGGCTTGTCTCCAGGTTTATGAGAGGAGTGGATAAACAGGGTGAGGGGAGGTGCATGCTGAAGTGACCTGATGCTTTATACATTCACAAACAGTGTCTGTCTCACTATTTGTTACTGTGCACATGCACTTGGGTACACAGATTTACAGCTGTGTGTCTGAGTGTGTTTAGGAGATATGCTGTGCGTGACTCAGGACAAGCTGGCCTTTGTAAGAGGTGCTCCTCAGAACAACAACCAGTGTAACCAATGTTACACTGACATTTTGATTGTGAAGAATGCCAGGCAATGTATTGTTTGGTCATAAGACTTACATCTCATATATCACTTGCATTTTCTGCTACTTTTACGTCAGAGCTTCCCTATCAATGGACCTACACTATCTAAGGGGCTTTTCCCTAGAATTTGACCTCACAAAACAAACTCAAAGATAAAGCAGATACAGTAACAAGAATGTTGCTGTTGAGTGCTAATGGATAATTATGAGCAGCATATACAGTCAAGTCAAACCAATAGTGGTGAGATAACTGCTGAGGACAGATTTTTAGAGCCTCCAGCTCTTGTAATACCATGCGTGTGAACTGCTATGATTGCCCCGTAGAGAAAAACACAATGTATGCCCCTTCCCAGCAATTATGGGCCTGGGAAAAGAATGTGAAACCCAACCTCTGTGGACAGCCGTCACCACACTATACAGCAACCTGCAGACGGAAGGGATTGGGAGACGGGTAGGATGGAGGGGTGGTAGTTGTTTGAATAGCCAAAGAATAATTACCCAGACACAGAAGACATATCAAATGAAAAACAAGCTTTAAAATGTGAGTGTATCAAACTATCACTGTAAAAAAAAATCACTTTCTCCTCACTACATATAATCTACACTTATATAAGCACTCCACTCACCAGCTGAAGCCATGTTTGTTTGTAGGGGTGTGTTTCTCCAGCAGAGCAGTGAGCTGCAGAAGTGAGAGCTTCTGGAGCAGATTCATCTGCAGCACAGACTGGCAGCTAATCTGAAGCTGTGCAGTGGCCAGGCTGGGCCGATGGGAATTCTGGAAGCTTGGCCAACGGAGTTTCTGTGGCCTGGAGTACAGAGAAGGAGAAACAAAGAACGCAAATTGAGATGTGAGAAGAAGAATTTTGTTGAGCAGTTTAACTCTTGGGATTTGTGTCCACAAGCTCAGAAAATAACACAGCCACACACGGTATTTGTAGCTGTATGTGCCAAGTGATCAGTTTAGGGATTACAGGGATTTATGTACACATCAATCAAGGGATTGTCGAGGGACTAGAAACCCACACCCCCTGCATGTAATACTGCCTGTGGATTCCTGAAAGAACAGAAACAGTCCCCATGGAGACCAAGCAGCATTCCAGAGTATGCAGCACCATTACGTAAGGAGAGAAGTCTCAGCGTGTCCCCGTGTTTATCCTTTGCTGTCACTTTCTATGGAAAACTTTTTGCTAGTAACCCAGCGCTTGTCTTTCTAGTGCTTAGCTGTCCTTGAGCTTTTTGTGTTTGGCACAAGTTCTACAGAAGAAGACTAAGCAAGAGACCGTTTGGAAGAAGCTGTTTGAATGTTTCTCTCTTAAAAGATCAGTTACATAAAGATGATACATAAGTTAAAGTTCAAATTGGAACTGTTTTCTACAAGAGAAATACAAAATAAAACTAAACTATTTGCAATGCTGGATACATCGCTCTGGAGAATGAAAAAATATGACAGACCCTTTGATTTTCCTCACTGACCTGCTGGTTCGGGTTAAAGATGCTCCAACACCAGAATCTCTTCTCTCTCTCATCCCTTCTTCTCCTTCACCCAGCGGGTTTCCTGTGCTGTCTTGGTCGCTTCCATTTTCAGTCTCCTCCAGTCGGTTCTGCAGTGGAGAGGATGGGCACGGCGATGCCGAATCCAGTGCCGAATCTGAGTCACCTTCTTCATCTTCATCTTCCTCATCTTCCTCCTCTTCACCACCCACAGCCTCTGACCAGGCGTTAACAAAACGCTGCAGGCCGCTAACATGTTGTAGCACCTCCTCCAGTTTGTGTTCATCCCCCTCTTCCTCCTCCTCTCTTCCAGTGTAGGGGACATTGTCATAAAAACTGAGCCGGCTGTCAAAGGAGCCTGAAGAGCTACGACGCTGGCATCTACTTTGCCGTCCCCTGAGGATCACCGAGTTTCCATCATCATTCCCATTATTATTGCGTGAGCTCCCATCTTGTAGGGCTGTGGGGAAAGTTCCAGGCTTGTGACCTTCTGGTAAGTAAAAAAAGATCATGCCTTCTTCTTCCTCCTCCTCTTCTTCCTCTAATTGTCTGCTATTGTTTCGAACACTGCAGTTGTTCCTATGGTTCTGGTGATCAAATGTCATCCCATTACTAGCTTGGCAGGGGATGGGTGGGGCAGATTTGGGTGGGGGTGTTGGTTGACAGTCTGAAGCTTGTTGGAGAAGGCTGAAAGGATCAAAACCCTCCAAATACATTCCTCCTCTCTTACTAGAGCCTGCTGCTGTGCTGTGGCTGCGAGCGCGGGTTACTGGGCTTGGTGTGCTCACTGCGCTTCCACTGCTAGCTTCTGACTGGCTGCTCCCAGTACTTCCAGTGCTGCCATTGCTGATCTGAGTGGAGTAGGATACAGAGTGATTCCGGTTAAGTGTCATAGTCTGAGTGGGAATACACTGGAGATTGAAGTTCTGGTTATGGTTGATACTGGAGATGTCCACACAGTTGAGCTTCCTCAACTTATCATCATCTAGACCCTCTTTGATGACAGGGCCACTGATTTCAATTTTCCCTCCACTGGTGCTCCCCTTCTTCTTCCTTTTGGAGGAGGCGCTGCTGCGCAGCCGTAGACTCTCCATCCTTTTCAGGAAGCTCTTAGCTCGTGAGCGTGTGCTTTTTCCACTGACACCTCCTCTGTCAAGACTTCCTCCTAGTCCTCCCATTCCTGTTTTCACATCAAATGTGAACTGTCTGAGTGTCTCCAGGGGCGATGGAGGCAAACCGTCTGACAAATAGTCTTCATTAGCGCATCCTGAACCACCTGTGCCTGACGAAGAACACATGCTCGCTACAGAGCTGGCACGAGTGGCACCAGCAGGTACAGCCTCATTTACCAGGGTGGCACCACGGCTCTTCTCTTCTCCTCTTCCTCCACTCGCGCTGCTATGGATGGAGCCCACTTCAGGCTGTTCACTGAGGTCAGTCAGCACACTCTCTGAACTGTTGCCTTCATGTAGGGCAAGCTTGCCTTTCTGGGGTACTTGGCCTTTGGTGAACGGAGGCTGGGCAGCATCTGTGGGCAGTGTGGAGAAAACCTCAAGCTCCTCCATACGGGACCAGCGCTTGCTGTCCCTCTGGAAGGTCCAGCGGCCACTGATGGCACAAGGTTCATCCTCATCGGAGTCCTCACTCTGGATAGGGAGTGGATAATGGAGGTAGAGAGAAAGAAATAGCAAGAAGAGAAGGGAAAAAACACAAGGAGAACATTATGCATTGCTATGTTTTCCATCCCCCCCAACATTCCTCACCTTGAGCCAGGAAACCTTCTTGAGTTATGGAACTTATTTTATAATAATAATTGTAAAGTATATGACATGTACTCATTTATGACAGCTGTAGAATACCTTTACTTCCTGACTGCATGGACAAAGCATATATACAACAAAGAAAAAAGTGGCCACTACTGAGTCACCTATAGAACAAATGCAACTTCCAAAAATGTATACACCTCCCCCAGTTTGGTTAATCTATCTCAGGCCCTGGAGGGACTTTAGGAAATCCCATTACGACCCTCCCATAGCTCACAATGCAGCCAGTCCGACTGGGGTCATCCCCCCTACAGCCTTTATCCCTTCTGTCTGTACATATGCACACACAATAAGTGTATGACATTGTCACTGATATACTTTTCTTTATTGATGACAGAGCTGTTTGACCTCTTGTCACATACACAAAAACACATACAGGAGATTCCACAGCAGACTTATTCATAGTTCCTGATCACACTGGAAGGCCAAGGTTCATAAAACCAAACAACACAACACTATTTGACCACGCCCTTCTCCTCTAAACTGCTACCCATAATCTGAACTCACCAAAACACACACACAAAAGTGTATATGTTATATGTACATAGAAAAATCTGAAAGCAGTTAACTTCAGAGCAGAAAATTAAATACTTTGATTAAAAAAGAAAAAATTGATTTAAAAAAAAATCTATGTTCCACTACTTGAGCGCCAGTGTTCCAATGGCACTGCTCACACTGGACTCTGTTAGTTAAGTTCTTGCAGTGGAAACATGATGTAATGACATATTGAGTGCAATCTACCCCTGCCACCTACAGGGCTTTTATTAAAGCCAGTGATTTAGCAGACAATCTGTGATTTTCAGATTCCACTGTGGTTTGTTCCTCCAGTTATGCTGGTTGGAATGTGAGATAACCGTGCTATTTGTTGTGCCTAGAGAGCACTGATTAGCCAATAGAGCGTCAATCATTTGTTGACATTCTGGAGATATCTTATCCTCAAAGCATCACAGATGCACAAGCATTCCCTGCAGCAGTGAATGCCACAAGAAGTTTACAGACTGAAAGCTATTTATTATTATTCCAAAAAGACAGGCAGAAAGAGCAAACCAGAAGGAATGACAGACAAGGAGATTCAACACAGGAGATCAATGCATTCCTAAGCTGTCTGCAGGGGGTTGTCGCCCCACAAAGATGGCAAATAACCTCTTTGACTCCTCTACTCTTCTCTGTTGACTTCTGAAATAAAGGTGATGCAGAAGGGGTCATCCTAATGAATACCAGCACACACAGAACAAGGATGTTACTATGTAGCACTTAAGGCCATTAGAGAATTAGGTTGATTTGTGGAAAAGACAACTCTTGTCACTAAGTGACCATGTGTATCAGTCTAGATTTTCTACTTTACATGAAATATGCATGGTAAAACTGGAATATTCACAGAAGCCCTTTTTAAAGAAGAAGAAGATAAACATTTTCTAAGAGGCCTGTTATTTCCTTAAAAACGTACGAAACTGCACATGCTCAAACATCCTTATGAGCATTATTACAGGCAGCAGGTAAATAGTGGGTTGTTCTACAAGACTGTCGCAAAGGCAGCATACTAATTTATTTCATGGTTATTCTGAAGTACAAGGAAGTACGCCTTGAGCAGAGGGAGGTCCAATTGAATGCAACCCCTTCATTTAGACATTAAAGCTATCCTTCTTCCTCCTGGGGTCCTCACAGCTCACTTCATATAGAAATAAACCCAACAAGTGCCTATTCATTAAATAAGATGCGGGAAAAGACAACTTTGCTGTGAGGCCCAGAGTGAACTGATGTTTGAGGTGAGGAAATCCAACTGTGGTTGTGGGTGTGGTTTTCAGGGAGGAGTGACGTTCATGTGTGTGCATATGCACTTACTCGCTTTCTTTGTGGTGATATCTCCAGCCTCATTAGAGCACACTTGTTCAGGGTGTTCAGTCTCCTGCAAACACAAAGACATAGTGAATTAGTTATATATGAAATGGGCTTGAACATAATATAGCTCCCTGTTTTTTTAATCCCTCTCATCATGATGTATGATGGAAGAAATGATAAAACAAAATGAAAAACTGAAAAGGGGAAGAGAAAGACAGAGGAAGCGTTTTGAGTGCACCCAGGCTGACTAATGAGCTGCTGAAGGATAGTTCCTACATGAGCAGGAAGAGAAAAAGAGGGAGACAGAAAACCAGAGAGCGAGGAGAATGAAGTCTGCTGGGGAGGTGACGAAAACTTGGGGCAGAGGAAAGAAATGTTATCCCTACCACCACCCTTGCTCCCCTTCTCCAGGTGGCGGTGGGGTCCACCCTCTGGAGAGCTCTTAGAGCAGATCATGTAACAATGGAGGTGAAGGGATGGGAATTGAAAGATCTTTGGGGTTGTAGGGAGGAGGGTGAAAGGCTGCCAAGAGGGAAGAGACTGAGATGAGAGCTTCCAGATGTATGGAGGGACACCTGCTGTGGTTTATTATGGAGAGTTGGAACTTGATGAAGGAGTCAACTCCATTACAGAGCCATTAACCTCCTCCTGATATGCAGATTAATATAACAGGGGCAGCAACTAGAAGGCAAACCCATTTTTCTCCAGCACTGGCATTTAGCCCTTTCTTTGCACACACAAACCAAAGAGATGCCTGAAACTCCACACAAACAAAGCTTTGAAACCATTTATGCCCCATTTGTGGGTAGAAAATGATGCAGAATGTCCTGTAACACCAAAGAAAGTTTGAATGTAAAGAGAACTGCATGACTGTAGCATTTAGCAGTGAAAGGCAAAAGTGAGATATGTGCTTGCCAGAATTATGAAAAGACTCCAATGACTGGGGTAAACACTTTCAGCCTCAGAAAAAAAACAAAATATGTAGTGAGGCACAGATTAAAAACTAAATGGTGAGAGGGAAAGGTATAGTACCTGGCTCTAAGGCACTTATCAAGTCATTCTTTCATGTCATCTGCAACTTTCCAAAACATGCCCTTATGATTTCATCTGGGGGAAAACAAGAGATAGTACAGAAAGGAAGGAGAGGAGTGCCATCAAAAGAAAGAGAAAATAAGTACAATTGGTGCAATCTCACCTGCAGAGAGCCTCAATAGCGTCCCGATCAAGGAAGTCATGGTCTCTGGTGACCGAGGAGATATCAATGGGAAACTGGGCATCTAAAGAGAAGGAGTCAGATTAGTGTGTGGCTATCTCCCTGCTGCTGATTGGATCAGCATGTTCAGATAAAATAAACATACAACCCCTAGCCCCCCAAAAAACACCCACCCACCCACCAGGGCCTTCTGTCCCACCTTCTCCCCCATACAGCCTTGATGAAAACCTAAGAGAGGAAGCAGCGTCTTAGCCGACCAAACAAACACAGCTGCAGCTTTCAGACCCAGCAGGCAGGGGGGATGTGGAGCACAGAGGGAGAACAGGGGTTTGATTGAAGAATGACAATAGGTACTCCACCGCTGCCAGAGGTCCCACTTCCTTTTATGCTTCTCATCTACTCTCTCTAGTCTCCTTCATTAACAGGATCACTTAGAGCCACAACACTGGTAAGGACTCTCAGTTAAAGTGTGTCTTAATATATTAAGCTATTTCACCAACATATTGTGGTATAGAGATGGATGGACGGATACTAAAATATGTTCTGGAATGTAATGACCCAACACAAAATGGGAATCTTGCATCTAAACCCTCGGAGGCAACGATGATAAGAAATTACTATTAAGGGGAGGCCAGGCACCTTGTACTTACTGTGCTGAAACAAGCCTATCAGTCTGCTTATCTTTAGTGGGGCAATAGTCTTGACAGTAGAGACAATAAAGATGGTCCCATGGATACAACGGAAGGAAAAATGTGTCATGCACAAAAGCTCTTGGCTCAGATTCATACACATGAGGCGATGGCTGCAAGTGACCAATCGGCAAGGCTGTAAAATATGAACAGTTGATTGTGGTTTACAATTTTGTGTTGCTGTTCATGTATGAAGACAGTCCCATCACCTATGCAGAAATACAAGCTTTCCGTTTACACAACCACAAAATCGAAACACAACCTTTCACAGTTAAGCAGCAACAAGCAATGGCCTGTTGACAAAAAGCTGATTAATTCTGCTGTCATTGCCCTGTGGTTACGTAAGGGCAACTGGTATGCCCTTGGTATGTCTTAATATAGTTGGAGTAGCTAAATAGAGTGGAAAGAATGATGTATTTTGGTGAGTGTGAATTTAAAACTCAAAGGTCGAGCAAAGCCTTCTTTCTCAACCATTTGTCATCATATGAGTAACTTAAGAAGGAATGGAAAACCTTTGTGTTTAACAAGCTAGCCAAGACCCTTTGGTCCCAAAAGAGTAAGTGTATAGGTTACATTATAGTTCATATCTGGATTGCTGTAGAGTGTGATTTGCATTACTAAAGCAAAGCACTGGTGCTGCAAAAAATAAATAAATAAAACACCCCTTACTCCTCAGGAATGTTATGCTGTGTGTGGTGTGAATGGGCGCACAGGCATGTGTGCGTGTTTTTCTGCTTGATAAAGGACATGATTGTGTTCAGCAAAAACTAAATGCCACATTGGTGTGTACAATATAGCAGAATGACTGCTGCTATCTTATTTACATGAAAGAGTGAAAAAGCATCTGTGTTAATTTGATATTAATTTAACTCCAACTAAAAAAAGTGTTACTATTATCTTATTGCCTAAATGATTTTCATTTTTTTGGGGAGAAAAAACACAAATGGGTATGTTTTTTGTGGGAAGGTGGTGAAATAAAATTTTCAACAGACTCGCAAGTCCCAAAATAATTGAATTACAGTGATTCCTGGCTTTGTCACTGTTAATCTTCAGCTTCACCAGTTTAGCTGCGAGAGCCAGGAGAGGGGTCTCATAGGTGTCTTTACCTTCATAAAGCTGGGCGTACTGTGGAAACCCTGCTGCCCGAAGCCAGGTACAAGCCTCCTTGGCTTCAATTTCTGCAGAGGACAGAGAAAGGCAAAAAGGCAAGTTTGATGAAAATGTATCAACTGTTTACTTCACACACAAATGTACACATCATTACAGATACAGTAAACAAGCCAAAACAAAGAAGAACTTGAGAAAATAATGATTAATTTAGAAAAAAACACAGTTTGAAATCAGCAAATAATAATGGACATTGATACAAAGGTTTTTTATTAGCCTATCACTCAAGTGGAAATGAAACATCTTTAGAAAATGCCATCCTGTCAACATATCAATGGGACAAAACTCTGGAGGTGAGCACTCCAGGATGCTAGTAATTTATCAATGTGAACCCCCTGATCCTGTTAAATATCTCCTCTTACATGCTTTTAAAGCTAGAGTCAAGGTATAATTTGTGCAAATAATGTTAACCCTATCACACAGCAAGTGGATGCCACTCAAACTCCTTATATATAATCACTTTTATTGGCCAAGTATGTTACACACACAAGGAATTTGTCTCCAGTACAGAATCAAGGCAGCCACCTGTAGTGTCATCACACACACACACACACCAATGCCAGCGCTGTCCCTGCAAGGCACTGGGGTGTGTTTCTGGGGTTGGGAATCGAACCACCAACCTTCCGGTTAGGAGACAAACCCTCTACCTCCAGAAATGTGATGCAACTAATCACAGTTATTGTTGTCTGCACTGACCCCACGTGCAGTTATGTTTCTGGAAAGGCACACGTCAGGCTATGGTGTATGCTACAAGCACTGACTATATAAAAAATGGACAAACTCACTGTGACTTCGCCCATTGGATTTCTGAAGAGAGGTTTTTAATCTCAAATCTGGCTGTTGCCATATTGGTAGCATTTTTGAAGCAATGTTTGCTTGTTTTCTGAGTTGTTTTTTTTTTTTGATAATGTACAGTGTTGCCCTCATGATGCCAATGTGGCAAACAAAATGCATATAACAAATAGTGTGTCACATACTAATCATATGTTTCTCTAGTGTCCAGCACTGCCGAACAAACTCTGCCATAACTCCATTTAAACACAAGGTGTAACATTTGGGCTTGTTATGCTAAGTACTATGTCTAAATGTTGAGGTCCACTGTGTGTCAAAGGAACCAGGGGAATGTCTCCCAATTATCTGTGAAAGCCCTTTAGATGACATATGCCAAATAGTTACCCACACCTCAGCCTCCTCAATTGCTCCATCATCTCAATTGTAGCGGTTTGAAGACAGACAGAAACATGTCTGCAGGCCTTAAGAAGCTGATTTCACAATGGTCTCTTTAGTAAAGTCACAGAATCACAAATGTAGCACAAGCTTGAAAAAATGTGCAAACAAAACCAGTGTAATAAAGGCAGTAAAAGACTTGTAAACCATGAAGGATAGTGACAACATTCAGAATGACAGCAAAACACAAAAGCAAAGTTATTGTTAATCTCATTACTGATATAAGAATTCTGCATGAAGTCTGAAATTCTGTTTCAGATTCTGCAATCCTTGAAGTCAGATATTATGTCTCTTACACTTTTGTATGGGTGCTAAGTTTGACTGAACAAATAGTAACCATCGGTAAAGAGAGTGTAGTGTAGTTTATTTTTACTTCAAAACATAGGTCTAGAACTTCCACCGCATTTCAAGGCTAAATTACACCAAGGAATTGTTATATATTTGTAGCTAAAACTCAAGAACAGGAGCAGAGCAAGAGAGCAGAATGTGGCTCAGAAGAAGCTAAAGACTTTCAAGTGTTTTGGTCAAAAGCTACAGAGATAATACAGTAATGAATGTGAAATAATAAATGTCACATAAGTGAGACATTAAAAAACTTCATTTAATGATGGACAAAAGAGAGATGACTCTAAAATACTGTCAGACAGAGACAGAGGTCAGAAGAAGACGGCTGCTGCAAAGGGTGTGCACTCAACCATATACAAGCATTTACATACCAACAACAAGCCTAGACAACAGACAAAGCCACTAACAACAAGGTGTGACACGGAAAAAACAGGGTCTCCCCTCTGCCACCACAATGGCCAGCAACCCCTGAAGCGTGACACTATTATGCACCTGTGTGTCAAATAACACATTAGCAATGTTTTAATGCTATTTTATGAGCTCAGTTTTTCCCTGTGGATGTGAACCGGAAAGTCTCAGACATCATGTATGTGGTGAGCCTAGTATTTCTGGACCATAGTGAACCCAGAGGAACGCAGAAACCAAGGTGTAATTAAATGAACATTTTTGAAAGCAAACACTGTGTAGGGCTAGAGATTCTTAGGTTCGCGTGTGAATCTGTGTGTGTGTGTGTGTGTGTGCGCGCATAAGCAAGTCTGTGTGTGTTTGGAAAGACCAAACTCATGTTTAAAGACAAACCACTCAAAAGACAGTAAAGCTATTGAAATGCAAATGAGACACATGGTTAACTTTCTGTGCCCCCCCCCCCACCCCACCACCACCACCACCAAAAAAAAAAATTTTGAAAAAAGGACCAATAAGTGTCTTTGGAGGGAAGCTATTCAGTGACACACCCCATTTGGCTAGAATGTGTGTCAAATCTACTTTACACTGACATAATATGGACTTAGTGTGCCTGGGAAACAAAATGCCAACAGTATTCACCACGCAGATTGATCAGACTGAATAATATCTGTCACTGCTCCATTCATTCACAGAGTGAAGCTATAATATTTTTCTATCTTTTGTTTGGCTGTGGGAACCTAAAAATAGGTGCGCACACATGTACACTCATACATCTGGAATAAAAAAAAAAAAGATTGACAATGCCATGGAAGGGTTTACAAGAATATACTAGGCACTCCGGTCAACTTAGTCCAACTCTCCACCCAGCCCTTTACATTTCTGAGATTCGTGAGGGTATTTTAATTTTTGTCTTCCCCACTGTCCACCCCAATTCCTCCACTCTTGCCAGGGAGCTACCTCAGTTCCTCTTCCTGTTTCCCTCACAGGAAGAGAGCCAAGCAGCACCACAGTGGTTGCTGACCACCCAGCTGTAAGACCCTGCCTTCATTTGTTCCTGGCCAGATAATAGGCAGCAAGGCAGCCAAGACAAACATAGGCTCCGGTGATTGTGTGCACTTACCAAATGTCCTCATGGTTAAAGACGGCTACAAAGCCACAAATGTCTAACAGTAAGTCCTTGGAATTTAAATATGACAATAAAAAGGTCAATCGCTGAGTCACCCTCAAGTAGAAAAGTCAAGTTGGCCACCTTGTTAATGATGGTGATATTTAGTCTACATACGCTAAGTTATCTAAGGTAAAACAGATTATGACTATGAAAGAAGTCAGGCCAACAACAAAATTTCAAGGCCAGCCACAGCACTAAAAACATCCTGGCAAACTAATTCTGTTAGAGTTGACCATGGGTCCTTATGTGTAGTGTAATTTTTAGAACAACACATTCTAGAGACATTCCTCTTCATGTTTTGTTTTCACAAAGTAACAACTGTTTATGGCCTGTTAAATGTGGATAACTGTGGTTTGTCTAAAATACACACCAGTCCACAAAAGGTTTTTCAGCCTTGTGACATTTTGACCCTGCTGACTTTAGGCTTCAAGCTACAGGAGGTAACAGCTGCATGTAGTTCCCTTACTACAAAAGGTAACCTTATGCCTGTACATAATCCCAAACTGTTTTCTGTTTGGGTATCTTATTCCCATCACTGGTTGTCTTGTTGGCTAGGAGACACACAGACAGACAAACAAACAGCTGGGTATATTAATACCTGAATCTGACCAAATATGATCAGAACTTCTGGTTCTGTTGAGGGGGCTGAAAGGATGTCTGAAATATGTCCATAACGAGGGACAAAGCAACAGTCAAACATGTGGCTAAAACTGAACTGTCCTCATCAGGACAGTTATACAAAACTGACTACATTTTTATTTTCTGATATATTTCCACACAATTAATCTAAGTCTTACTTTGTGGACAGAAATACAAAGAAATCGTCTCAACTGGAATGAAGAAGTAGGTGCACATTGGTTCTGGCTGATATGAATGAGAAAAAACAGCAGTGAGCAGACTTTCTCAGTATTAAAAGAAGGATGAGAGTAATTATCAGCTGATAACATGACTACAACAAGATAAGCCGATGCTAATAAAGATTTCATTTGGATCGCGAGTGGCTTTTCTCCTGGAATTTGGCCAAAGCTGATCTGTTGAGTGACCAGTCAGTGTTAAGCTTTACTGACTTCTAAAATTATCCATCATGGTATTTTCTTTGCTTTCCTTTTCCCTGTACTCACCTTCATCTCCTCTGCTCTCCCTGCTTATTCTAACTCTGTTAACCCTGTCTCTTCTCTCCTTTCCTGTGACAGGAAATTCTCACAATTGCTGGCCAAAGTTTCTCTCCATCCCAGGAGGCAGTGAGGTCTGGCTTGGCTGAGTCTGAATGTTCAGCTCCGGTGGGACTTTGTCAGCAGCTAGCAAACAAAGGATGCTGCTCCCCACCTCAAAGGCTCTGCTACATACATTGCAAACTGGGGGTCAAGAGTCTGAATATAGTTATAGCTGAAGCTAGATATTTGAAGACAAAGATAGAGAAAAATACTTGTTGAAAAACACAACTGCTGTGAATTGAAATGACGTATCTACTGGGTCTTAACAGTGCAAGCTGTAAAACAAGCCAAAAGGCAGTCAGAGGGTTCTTATCAACTCCAGATCTGACTGGCTCATTCTGAAGGAGCTGCAGTGTGGCACTATGATAAACCTTACACACTGCCTTTTCCGGGCGGGATTGGTAGACCTTTATTTTGTCTTGTTTTCTATGTGTAAGGCACAAAGCCGGAATGGCGGGTCATTCTTGGTCCGCCTCTGGTATTACCATCCAAAGCGGAAAGAAAGGGGAGACCCACTCTGTGTAGAAGGGTAAGCCGGCAGTCCGGGACCAAGTGCTACGTTTTGATGATGTAATATGTGCGTGACACTATCACCGGCATCTGAAGTCTGCACGCCTCTCTGCCTCCAGCTGTTCTAGGCTTCTCTCATTCG